CACTCTGTAATTAAATTCACTTTACAATTGTGGTTATTATGAAAAAAATGGAAAGAAAAACTATATTTCTTAAAGTGTTATTAATATTGCGTTATAATATCATGTATCGATCAACTGATCAAGGTTGCCTTTTTTACAACAAAAACAGCAATTATAATATTTTAACATTTATTATTGTTTACTGTCTGTATACAAAAATACATCACAATTTTGAAAAATGTAAAAAATTCTAATAAGTACATATACATTACATATATTAAGCAATTAATGGTTAGTTTCAATAACATTAATGCCATTAGAGACAGGTTATGGATAATATTAACACAAATGGAATGAGTTGAAATTATTATTTTTCACATAAATACATTATATATTATGCATATACAGAGAACTATCTGAACAACAATATTATAAGTATTATAATTAAATCACATGGAAATAAAAACAATATTTACTAAAGTAAAAAAAAAAAAAAAACAATAATCATAATAATAATAATAATATAAAATACAATCATTATTAGTTGAATGAAAAAAATGCTATAAACCTTTTTTGTGTAGAAAATGAAAAATTTGTAACGGATAAATATTCATTGATAAAAAATTATATTAAAAATATATGGTATAAAATACAAACTAAAAATAAGTTATAATTAAAAATACTAAACCAAACTGAAGAGTTCTTAAAAATGTATTAGACTACTTCAAAATCATAGAGTTGCAATACCTAAAAGCTTTAATTTTGTGAGTAAGTATAACTATAACATTTATTTTTATTTTTATGTAGCATATTTGATCAAAGGCCAATAAATGACTATGTAAATAGTAACATAAAGGAGACATAATAACAAAGCTACTAGATAATGCTTAATTTTCAGATTGGCAAAGTAATATGGATTATAATATTACAATGTTTAAAGTTAAAATATATACATTTAACATAACACTTAAATCTTTATAATTAGTCTAGTWCCTAGACTCTAGGAAATGTTGAGCTCCGTAAAGATAAATAAAATAAAATATAATATATACTATATAGATTGTATTCATTAAATCTTTATTATAACAAGATAAATTTATAGGATAGGTAAGATATACTATGGCAAATAGTAAAAWAAAATGTATAGGCAACAGTCAAGATAATAAGTCAAACATAGTTACACATCGTGTGAACTTTTTTCAAAGTTTTGTTTAATAAAGCACCATTATAAATTATATTTATTATATAAACTGAACGGTTATTTAGGACATCTGCTTCACTTGAAAGAAATGTCAAACAATTTGTGTGCTTGGTGCATTCAGTAACAACCCATTTGTGCGTTCTAAATCCCCAGCTTCAATCTGTTCTTTTAGAAGCTCTAATTGTCTAATACCACTCACAGTCACTTCATACTTATGGGCTACCATAGATTGGTAGAAATGTATTGCAAATGCTAAAAATATCACTAGGACAGGGATTAACATAATAACAGCAGACCATGCTGCATATTTAGATATATCATAAAATTTAACCCAACAAAGTATGGCAATTTCAGCTAGGAACAACAGAAGACCAAGAAGTGTTGAAAACGCCCAYGCAGTTTCAATATACCAATGCAGACGTTCATGTGGAGCTTCGTGTACGAGACTTACCGAATGGAGATTACATACGGCATCAATGTTTGGCAAAATACATGTACTTATCATAAGAGCCAACATGTGAACAGCTACTAAGAGGGTGGTACATACAGCAAATGCTACAAGCATTCCCTCTGGTACTTTAGAATCATCGCTAATTTGCATTTCTACCATTGCCACCTATAGAAAGTTAATATTTCGATCAGTTACCTATAAATCGATAGATTTTTTATTAAATTAAATATTTTAACATACCATAGCAAAACCTGATAAAAGCGCTGATGTTTTACTAGAAGCTTTGAGTTTAGCTCTACTTAATTGAAGTTTACGCCAAGAAAGAAAAGCAGGAGAATTGAGTGGGACACCAGCTTCTGTAACGTCGCACTGYGACATGTTATTGGACTTCTATAAAATAAAATGAATCAAGTTACATTAYAATTTTCAACTATGATTTTCTAAATGACAATTAACTAATTGATATTTAAATACCAACACCGTAGGTAGGTATTATATTATTCAGTAATAATGAATTACTAATGCATTACAAATTACAATATCCAAACAACTTAKAACTAGTTTATTAGTCACTTARTCTAATTTAGAGCCTTGATACTTGATGAAGAAAATATTTTTTTTTCAAACAAAAGGTTCGTAAAGACCACCAGAAATAGGTTTTGTAGTTGCTTATGGTTAAAAATTAGTTAAAACTCATTGACCATGGTTAAATAGGTATTTGGTACGAGTAAACCACACCTTAAATATTGATTTTATGTTTGTATGTTGTTAACTAAATATTTAAAATAGGTACATAAAATTAAGTAAWAAAGAAAAAAGAAAATGCCAACTACCTATTGATAAATACTTTTGTAGCTTATGACTAATTATTATTTATCAACAACCAACTGAAATCAATCCATTCATGCAGGAAAAAAATTAGGCTGCAATATTTCCAATTTTGAAGCGCATTAAAAACTGCAGAAATCATTACCAACATATGTTAGATTAAAATGTTAAAGACTGCTACAGTTTTACATTTCAAATTGTTGGTAGTTTATTAACGAACCTTTTGACGGTTGTTAAAGTTATTATAACAGTGCCAATTAAAGTCTTGGTCCACCAAGTTATCTTTGGTGCCGTACAATGTGTGGTGACCGGAACTGATCGAGAATGATGACATCAAGAACTGAGCTAAGTGCAATGTACCCAAATATGTATATATTATATATATATTGTATATATATATAATCTACATATAATATATTATTTATCAATAAATTACGGTAGTTGTAAACAATACTAAATAGTAAAAATAAAATCTTAAAAAATCTTAAAAAATCGACAATGCAATATGAATAAATGCTGATGACTGATGTTTAGAAAGAATAGACCTCTAAAATTCACCTACGTGTGTGTATTAACTGGTGACTCGTTAAATTATTAACGGTTAATGTTATAATATTGTACTCTGGTATTATAACATAGTMGTGCGAAGATCTCTGTCGGGACTCGGGTTATGTGGAACCAATTATCGAGATTCGAGTGTGATTAAAAAAAAACTATCGCATTTGTGTGTAACGACTTCAAATTAAAATAATAAAATATAATTCAACAATATAAACAATGAATTTTTATTACTCACGAGTCTGCACAAGACATAAGTAGAGATCTGAAAAAAAAAAAATGATATACCGCCGAATGTCGCAACTGCGAAAGTGCGAAGTGACGTTATCAAACGCACACTCACATACTCACAATTCACGAACGGTTGGCGATGGCCGGGAGAGAAAATTTCGCCTCTCCTCTCTATGATTAATTATTGTAAGTAAATATTTTATTGATAACCTCCAGCCACACAATCACAAACGAACGGGGGAAACGCCACCGACTTCTACTCGATGATAACAATAGTTGCTCGTGTCCAAGGTCTGCGAGCCGCATAGTCCGCATATTAGCAGGCTGCAACTTACTCCCCWCCCATCACCGCTACTGATATCGCTTATCACTGCGGGAGATTAGTGATAACGACAAAAACAACAACAACAAGCCCATAATAATTGTACAATATAAGTAATAATAAATAATAATGTTATGTTTGTGCATGACAATGGTATTTTCAGTTTTCATATTTTCGATTTAGCTGTAAATAGTAACAAGACGTGCTAACTACTCCGACCTACCACCTGCCCAAACGTCGACGATTGTGAAAATATTGATAACTCGTACTTGATACCTCTCGACTCTCGAGTTTCGTGATATTCACGAACGATAAACGCTAACAATTATAGGTACTTAAATTACTAATTCAATAATAATAGAAATTATTGATTACTATTAATGTTGATACATTCGTTATTACTTACTAAAATTTGCTACTACTGCTTTTGTTATAGATTTTTTTTTTGTGTGATAAATAATATTACATAAATCTATTTAAAAGACTTAACATGGTCCACTTGCACCGAACAACAAACTATGAGGAGTTTATTGCGCTCATGAAAATATTGGAGGAATCCAAACAGCAGACTTTTGTCGTTTTCACCGGCACGCCCAACGAGAGTGGCGAGAGTTGGTGTTCAGACTGTGTTGTTGGTATGTGATCAGTTGTTATTGCATGGCACACTCATTGTCGGCCATAACAGTAAAGTAACAAGTCATATTGATTTTTTCCTTTTTAGTCTTTTTCAATAATAATTTAATTGTTATAGCCGATCCAGTCATCAAGAAACAGATCGAACACAACGAAGAACATCTAAAAGACACAAATATTGTATATGCTCAAGTTGGCAAAAGAGAAGAGTAAGTTTTAAATTAGTGTATTTTTACAACTTAATAAACCTGCCAATATCAAATATAAAGCAGTACCCGTCTGTGTACTTTAAAAGAGGATAAGCCATTTTAACTATTTTTTGTAATAAAATTTCAAAGTATGTGTTAGAACAAATTAAGTTAGCTTCATACTTACATTTTATTACATTATTAATTTTAAATCAATAATTAAGAAATCACTAAAATCTGACAGCATTAATAATGGTAACAAATAAAAAAGTATTACTTTGGATTTTGTATGAATGAATAATATTATCTAAATTTTTTTTGAAAAAAAAAAAGAAACTTATTGGTATGAACAATTTTACTTTAGTTGTGTTAAAATATAACTAAAATTTGGTTAGTAGGTATCCAATTAAAATGATTAATATGATTACTAAAGTTATATTATATTATAATTTTTTCATTCTCATCCCCTGAATAATTATTTTTATGGCAGTATTATATTATTACCTGAGGAACAAATAACTTATCGAGCAAATAATGTGTGCGAGTCATGACTGGTTAAATTTGTATTATGAAAAACTTGTCTATAAAAAAGTAACAATTATTTTCATTATCTATAATTTTATAGCTTAGACTGCTAATTTTTTCAAATTTCTAATTAAACAGATTTTCTATCATGATAAAATTAATTTAAATTTTAGTGTTCAAAAAATGATATTTAAAGAGAAAGTTAATATTACATTATTAAAATAATATTAGTATAATTAAATACATTGTTATTATGTTTGATCCCATGCTAATATTGATAAATTAAAATACATTAGAGTGAATGTGAATTCAATTTCATCATTCGTATTATTAAATAGTAAATGCAAATTAAAAAATCTTTATATTCACCTAATCCTACGTAAATAAAGATTTTTTATAAACATGAGTAGGTACTTGGTATTAAAATAGTTAAAAATAAACTAATGTTAAGTGTCTTTAATAAAAATTAATAATCYTATGTACATAAAAAAACATAACTTTGTGTTTTTTTTTCAATTGTGAAATTGAAGTATCAATAATCAATTGTTTATTTTTTTTACAGATGGAAGAATAACAATGAAAATCCATTTAGATTGGATAAAAAAATACGGTTGCAGTTTTTACCTACACTGCTTAAATGGGGTACATTACATAAACTTCAAGTGGAAGAATGTTTGAAACCCGATTTACTTAACATGGTCTTCAATGACACAGAAGATGATTCTTAAAATACACATATTTATAAGAAATATTGCCAACAATAATAAAAAATTTTAAATTGAATAGKTTCATTTTTTGTTATGATATGTAATTTATTTATTTATTATATTTATATAATATTTGAATACAAAAGATTCTATTTCTCATAATCATGAGTGAGCAATGATTTAAATTAATTTTAATAATTGGATAATTGTTACAATTAGTTAATTCTTTTAA